TAAAAGGTAATACATCTCTGTCTCCATGATGCTAAATAGGGACAATGAATTGGAGGTCATCATATGGTGCTACTTGTTGGGTTAGGGGTTAGGTCATCTCTCCCCATCATACTCATATTAAAGGCTAAAAACAAAACAATACAACTTAGCATAATAATTGGACATCACAACTGCTTTGCATATTAAGTGCATGCAACTCGATGCCTAGCGAAAGCAAGATGCCAAGCTCCTATTTGCTCTTTAATGAACAAGAATCTTGTTTTGTCCAAAATCTTGGACGCATTGTGGAGAAAACAATTTGGAAAATCATAAAGCATGTGGAAAAAAAGATACCTTGCGTATGTACGTGCATCCAAACAAAAATCGATGTCATTCTCCTAGAATAGAAACAAACAAACAAGGGGGAGAATTGTGAACAATGAATTATTACCATTTTCTTTGTAAAAAACTTTCAGCAGCACTCCAAAAAATGGGAATAGTTTTTAATTAATCAAATCAATGCTGCCTTAATAGACTTTTTCTCTTTTTAAGTTGGGACATCATAGTATTTGTTTTTATTTTTACACATTATGAAATTAATTCTCTGTTTATAAATTTAAAATTTAATTATTTAAAAACAACAATTATTATTATATATTAATCCTTTTAGTATTTGTCAACCAGTTGTGTTGGATCTATAAAAGAAAAGTTTTTTCAATACTTATTTTTTTATTTATAAAATTTAAATTCAAGATCTTATTTAAAAAAAATTTATATTTTTCCTCTTAAATCAATAAATTATTAATAAATAACAATTACTTATTAATAGATTATCCATCTAAAAAATTATTGTGTAATTTATATTATATTATATTATAAAATAAAAACTAATAAATGAAAACAATACTTAATATTAGACTTTTTTATTTAAAATTTTTTTTATATAATTCAATAGAGTTAAAAAAAAAAAAAAATGAGACTGTTGTCCATTTTACAATTTCTTTAGCTTTGAAGCTCCTAATATTCCCACACTTTTCCCTGTTCGAAAATCTCTCGCCATTTTACCCAAAAAGAAAAAATGCCAGCAAAAATGCGTCGTCCCCTTTTTCACAATCACGCCTCCCGTCACCATCTACAAAATAGGGTATGCACACTACGCACCCAACTCCTCTTTTGATTGTCCACCTTACGACACGTGGTAGCACTCCAGAGACCAGATGCGTGATGGCCCCCCACCGGTGCGCACTGCGCACAACGTATACTTTATCAAGCCCCCTCCTTGTTTTTGAATTTCAATATTAGAATAGTGCGAATTCGGAATTAACAACTAATTTTAATTTTACCCTCCAAATTCTCGTCGCCCTTGGCCTTGTCTGCTTCTTTCTTCTCTCTCCTTCGAAGTCCCAGCTCTGAGGTCTCATGGAGTCCGTCTCTTCCTTTTCTCTTTCCTAGGGTTTCTCTGTGGTCCTGAAATTTGGTGTGGCTCGAAATTTTACTTGAAGCTTGGATGAAATGGGGAGAAGGCTGGAGAAATTTGTTGCTTCGGTTGGAATTTATTCGGAGGTTTAGGTCCTTAGAGCTTTTCTGAGTGGGGGAAGGCGGTTTGGTTTTGTGTTTGTTTCAAAATGCCGGCGAATCGATCCAAGTCGGAGAAAAATGATGCTGCTGCGAAGCAGCTCCGACGAGACCCCTATGAGGTGCTCGGTGTCTCCAGGAACTCCACGGATCAGGAAATTAAGAGCGCGTACCGGAGAATGGCTCTCAAGTATGTTTATTTCGTTTTTTTTTTTTTTTAATGATTTCTAGTTGTGTTTTTAGATTACTGGAGTGGCTTATTTTGAAATGTTTTGAGTCGGCGGTGGCTGTGTTGCAGCTTGTTCCTGCCATTCTTGAAAGATCAGTGTTGAAATTTTGATTTAGCGCTTTGAATGTGCTCTCATTGTGCATTTCTTTTGTATGAAAAAGGCATTTTTGGGACTATTTTTTTCACCAATTGAAGCTTTGTGAGAAACTGGGATTTCCTATTGATATGTCAGAAGAGGTCGAGGACTAGCCAGGACAAGTATCTCTGAAGTAGGTCTTATTCTACAGAGATGGAAGCAGTTGTGGACTTGCCTCATTGTATTCTGAGTTGTCTGCAATTTGTTTGTATGAGCATAACAGCTATAACTGTTAGAGACTTTTGTAGATTTACAATGTTGCTTAAATTCATGGAAGGGATCTTCTCCTTAGAGGGAGGTTTAATAGGCACTAAGCTAGAAGAAAGCATTGCAAGGGACCAGTTAAATCTTTGAACTTGAGTTACAGAATATAGGATGGAGATCTGCTACAGGTTATGGTCATTATATTAGTCCAAATTCAAACACTTCAAAGGTTAGTTATAGAGCTGTGCTTGTGTAAAAGAGTAACTTGATGCCATCTTGAGGCATGGATGGTATAAGAAGAACTTAGGGTGTGGGGGTCATAACCATATCTATGTCATACATTCAACATTTACATGCATCTTGGTATGTCAAATTAACAGTGGACTGATGTCCACATAGGGATATGCATGGGTATTTTCTTATGAGATTTGTATCTTCAAACAAAGGCAAAGAACTGCCACTGTTTGCCCAGCTTCTTGAGATCTTCTCTGGACAAATTGTGGCAGTTCTTCACTTTTGTTTGAACTTTAAAGATATAGATCTCACAAGAAAATACCCATGCGTATGTTCGATGGGTTTTATGAGGTCTATATTTCGCCATGTAATGTTGATGAGATTAACGATTTAATGTTTTCATATTATCTCCAATTATTCTGTGGCCAAACTCACTCTATCTTGAGGAAATAATAATATTTTATAATTTCAGGTACCATCCTGATAAGAATGCAAATGATCCTGTAGCAGCTGATATGTTTAAGGAGGTCACGTTTTCCTATAACATTTTGTCTGATCCAGACAAAAGACGCCAATATGATACTGCAGGTTTTGAGGTTAGATGTGTGCATGACTAATATTTTGAATTCTCTAAGGCTAATGCATCCTTGTGTCTTTATAGAATTAACATTCTATGTCATCAGTTCTGGTTGTTAACAAAAATTGTGCATCATTAAATTTTTATATATTTATTCAGCATCAAGCTTTTTTGAGCATGATGTGCTGGTCTCATGTGTAGGCTGTTGAAGCAGATGGCCAAGAACTGGAGTTGGATCTCGCAAGTTTGGGAGCTGTGAACACTATGTTTGCTGCTCTTTTTAGGCAAGTTTACATATCTACTTTTCATGCTTTGTTATTGTATTTCAGTCTATTACTGTGTTTGATTTTATATGTTAATGATGGCATTTGCTTAAACTTTTTCCTACCTAATAGTAAGCTTGGTGTGCCAATCAAGACCACTGTGTCCACAACAGTTTTGGAGGAGGCGCTTAATGGAAATGTCAACATTCGCCCCCTTTCACTGGGACAACCTGTGTCTAGGAAGGTGAGTTGTCTTCCAACACGTCTTTTGATATGCTATTGTGTTATTATTGAATCTTTTGCACCTTTCACAGGTTGAGAAGCAAAGTGCTCACTTTTATTCCGTCACAATAACAGAAGAACATGCACAAGAGGGTCTTGTTTGCCGAGTGCAATCATCTGATAAGAGCAAGTTCAAGGTGTGAATATCACTTCAGAAATCTAAGAAAAATCTCTTTCTATCAAATCCTAGTATATCCAATACCTCTAATTGTTAGTTATTCTTCTAGTATTATTTAGATTGAGCACTGCCTAGCTACTTGTTGGTTTTAAGATGTCCATGTGTTATATCTGCTATTGAAATTATGCTGACTTCAGCTTAGCACATATTATGACCTTTAAAACAATATCGTAGAGGTAGACTGCTTGCTGGACATCATCTTGTATGTTTGTCTTTACGAATAATTACTTGTTCTCTTAATAGTTGAATGGTTTTATGCAGTTATTGTATTTTGATCAAGAAGAGAAAGGGGGGCTAAGCCTTGCACTACAGGTAATAAACAGTTTACTTTTTATTATAATGAATTGCTTAGAATGTAATTACAGTGATTCTTTCTCATGTATTCCCAAACTAAGTAGTTGGTGTAGGTTGTTTTATTTTATTTTTCTTCTTGGCTGACTTGTTGGTGTAGGTTTATTCATGCATGATTTGAATCTTCTTTCATTTAGTTCTTACAGTGCAATATGTTCTCTGTGATCTATGTTGTTCTTATTGATGAAGCTCCTAGCTATCAACTTCAAGTCTTGACTTGCTTAAATCTTATTGCATAAGTTGTTACCTTTTTGTGGCTTTATCACATTAAATGCCATGCCTACATCATTGAATGGCATTGTCCAAAATTCATAATATTCTGTTCTTTCTCTGACTAGGAGGATAGTGCAAAAACAGGGAAGGTTACATCTGCTGGGATGTATTTTCTTGGCTTCACTGTCTATCGTTTAGATCTAACTGTAAACTCGGTAAGCTGACTACTTTGTAATTATATCATACTTGTGCTTCATATTTTTGTTTTGATCTTCTCCATTGTTTTTACTTGTTTTTGGAAATTCTTATGACTCCAGGTGGCTGCTGCAAAGGATCCGGATACAGCTTTCTTCAAAAAACTGGATGGATTTCAGCCATGTGAAATAACTGAATTGAAAGCTGGCACCCATGTGTTTGCTGTTTATGGTGACAATTTTTTTAAAAGTGTAAGCTACACAATAGAGGCTCTTTGTGCTGCCTCCTTCACGAAAGAAAAGGAGGATCTTAGAGATGTGGAAGCACAAATTCTGTCAAAAAGAGTGGAACTATCCAAGTTTGAAACTGAATACAGAGAGGTCTGACTATTAACAAATGCAGTGTATTCTCCATTAGATTTTCCCTTCTTTTAGTTGATATTTACATGAACTGTTGGCAGGTCCTGGCTCAATTTACAGAGATGACCAATAGATATGCACAAGAAATGCAAGCTGTAAGTGATGACTGTAAGTGATGACTTGTGAAGTTAGCTCTTAGAAAATGTAATTTGAGCACATCAGTTTCTTAAAATACACTCTTCTTGTTGGTTTTGCAGATTGATGAACTTCTTAAACAATGGAATGAAATTCATGCCTTATACACAACTGCCCCACCACCTGTGAAGCGAAGCTCAAGTAGGAACAGAAATAAGGGCACCTCCAAGGAGATCAAAGAAGGTACTGAAACAAGAGAAACAAGAGAAAAGAAGCCTAGCAAGAGGGATAGACCTAAGAAGAAGAAATGGTACAATATCCGCTTAAAAGTTGAGAAGAGAAAGCCTTGCTAAACAAGTAAGATACAGCTTAATCTTCTCTAACCTTTTTCTTCAAGTTCAAACAATTGGATAAAACTTAACCCTCTTGGATTCTTCTATGAGGTTTATAAAGATGTTAGCTATATTGGGTTATATTATGTCTTCAGCACGTACCATTACTTGCTGCAGTGGTCCAATTATTCATGCAAAATTGTATGAAGCTATGAACATGTTGACCAGTTAGGCGCTATTGGGGTCATGGAAGGGATGATATATTGGTTTCTAACTTCCTCTTCATCAAATCCTGATGACAACATCTCATTGTTATTGTAAAAATTCATTATTTATCTTCATCATCCTCGGGATTAATTGGCAACCATGCTTGTAAATTACATGTTATTTTTGAAGATTCTCTTGTAATCTCCCAGCACCCAGACGCGTTTCTGGATTTTTATCTGATTATTGCCTAACCTTGATCGATGTGGAATTCTTTCCGGTTTTCAGGGCCGATTCAGTTTTGATCATAATGATCAAGAGGCATTTTTTCCTGCCAGAATTCACCTGAATTTGCTGACTACTTTGTAACACAAGAAATTCTTTTAGTACTGAAGGGTGTAAGGTAGCTTTACAGTGCAGTAGATTATTCAAGTATTTCAATTCGAAAAAATTGGGAACAAAACAAGAGTATATTAGCTAAGGGTGTTGTTTAATGCAAATATACAAGTCTGATGCTTCAAGAAACTCTCCGTCATATTCAATTTACATAAAACAATTTTAGGTTTTACGAGGGACGAGCCGGCCATGAGCTACGAGCACCCATCCAACGCCGTTGGAACTCTCAAGCGTTGATATTATTGAACTGATCGCATCTACGTCGCACCTCCCCTTTGTTCCCCGTCTTCACCTTGTAGACACTCACCTTCTCCATCGCATGAGCAAACGCATCAAAGAATGCCTTCTGGTCCGCTGCATACAAGTCCACGAACGGCTTCGTCCTCGAGTCGACGAATATGTCATGATCCTGCTTGAGCAAGCCTAATCCCCTCCGCAGATTCCTGAAATACATGTTGTCCAACTTTCCCGGCGTAATCACGTCGTTGAAGGCGGCGATTTGTGGGTTGCTAGTGTAATTTCCGCATAATTTCTTCAGCGCTCGTGCGAAATCCGGATCGAATGCCGGGTCGGTTTCCGTGGTCTTGCTGAAGTTGAACAATCTGTCTGCAAACTGTGAACAATGGGAGAATCCAATGGTATGTGCTCCCATGAGAGCAACCATTTCTTGAATTGAGAACCCCTTTGCAGCGAACAGAGATATTATCTGATTCACCGCCATGAGTTTAGATTTAGAAGGTCGGTACAAGAATCATAATTAACAAAGATTTCAGAAGGGCAAATATCAAGGTTCTGTTGATTTAGTTGTTTTGAATATCACCAATAAGAATTTCGCGCAACTAACCCTTTAATGTATATAAAAAGAATTGTTCTAAACATAGAATGGTTTATATTTATTGTTATTTATAACTCAGATTTGAAATTATGTTTATCAATTAAATTTATAAAAAAAATAAAATAAAAAATACTTTAAAATTATGTTAATTTAATTTTTTTATTAAAAAATTTATTAAAACAATATAATTTTAAAATAATTTGTCACTAAAGTTTTTACAAGTGTAACTTATAAATATTTTTACATTTAGATATTATTAATTATAGGTTATTTAAAACAATTAAACTAGATATAGTTTACTGCTTTTGTTTAAATTAAAGTACCATACTTTTATAATTACCTTATTCTTAAGTTCAAACGGTAAGTAATTTGCATTTCACGTGTGTGGTCTAATGGTCACTTGTTGCCTTTAGGAGTAACTTGTAGTTTGCATTTCATGTTTCGGGTTCAATACTCTCTCTCCACACTAATCTCTCTAATATATTAACATCTCTAATTATTACACTTCTAAAAAAAAATTGGTAAGCAATTTTTTTTAAATATTTTAATATGAAATAAGTTCGAAACCCATGAGGAAAGGGAGTGTAGCTGTTCAATGACTAATGGGATTGGCCTTTTAGTTCAGGTGCAAATGGTAAGTGATTTGAATGTTTAGAATTGCACAAGTTTTTATGGTATAACATTTACCCAAAATATTTACCTCATCCATGGACATTTCAATGGTAGCGAGATGGCCGTTGACATTGGAAGAGAAAGCCACAAAGCTGTCTTTCCGTCCCAATCGGACATCGTAGTGTGGCCCACCGACCATGACAATGAGGTCTCTCGTGGCAGTTGCAAGGATGTCTGAGCAGGAGACAATCCCTGGGCATTCGAGCTCAAGTGCGGTCTTGGCACGGGTGACGATATCAAATGCATCTCCGGGGAGGGAGAGGTTAATCTCTTCATCACGCTCGGCCTTGTTGAAGGCATTGGACGCAATGAGAATCGAGGCGTCGCAGCCTTCTACCATGCAGTCGTGGAAGAAGACGCGGAGGGTGCCGGCGGCTGTGGTGGGGGCCGCCGTTTGTTTGTCGAAGACAACCTTTTCCATTATGGAATGAAAACTGGGGCATGTTTTGTTGTAGTAGTCTGGGCTGAGTTTGGAATGAGTAGGGGGAAGAAGGGAGAGAAAAGGGAGGAGAAGGAGAAGGGAAAGGGAAGGAAACGCCATGGTTGTGTGAGAATGGAGGAGGAAGTACGAAGGGTGAGAGAGATGTCAAGGGAATTATGTTTGTAGAGAATGGTGGGTTAGGGGAAACATAAGAGGGAAAAGGGAGAGGCGTTTGGAAAGGAGAATTTACAGGAGGGAAAGGTATATTTATGGAGAGGAAGGAAAAATAAGGAGAGATGAAGAGGAAAGAGAGACTGTGTCTAATGCTAATTTTTCTATTTCAAGGTGAACGAGAGAATAGGAGATGGGGTTTTTTTGATGGACACGAACAAATGGCACGGATTGTTAAAGGATAATTAGTTTGATGGGTTGACACCAACATATGAAAAGTGGTTCAATTATCTGAAAATAGCATATATATGAGTTTTATTGCATCTAATTCAAAATTAATTTATAATACGTGGAGAATAGTTTTTCTTTTATGAATTTTTGAGTTAGGGTATTAAGGTCATCTTGTCTTAATATATGAATTTTAAGTTATGGATTTAAGAGTTGTTTTTCTTTTTTTTTTTCTTTTTTTTTTTTACAAATTCGAATTATTATGAATCTTAATTTTTTTTATAAAGGAAGTACTTTGATATTATATAAAATTAGACATATAGATTTCAATACAAAATTTATATCTAATTTAAAATAATTGATGATTAATAAAATAAAAATATATACTATCATTTTTATATTTAATTCATGTATTTTTTTCAATTTATTTAGTCAATGTAAGTGTTTTTCTCGCTTAACAAATTAGATCCTCAACCCAATTGTAGCAGTTGATATTCATTTTCTGCTCTTGATCCAGATAGGATGTACTTTTGCTTTTCCTTTTTGAAAGTACAATTGGAGGGTTAAGAATATGGATTATTACGACTTGAACTTTTAAATTTTAATTATCGTATCTCTTTTTAAAAGAATTGTGATTATTGAATTACAATAGTGATTGACATATAATTGTCATTTTTCTTTTAAAGAAGTTGAGATTATTGGGTTACAATAATGGTTGGAAGATAAGATATACTTTGAACTTTAGTGAGGATAGTAGGATTCAAAAACAATAAGCTATCATTAGCAAAAAGCTTAAGCAACATGTACCCAAAAAAATAAAAAAAAGTTTAAGCAATTCATGAGAGGAAGTTGGGCCGGCCCTGGAAATCTATAAGCGAGCCCTGCATTGTTGATTTTTGTTTCCTATTTTCTACTGTCAACTTATTTTCAGAGAATTGGTGTGAAAAGGGAACGGCATAACTTGATTTCACTTCTTTCAAGTTAGATCTTAATTTAATGTTTGCTCCAAGGAAATAGTTGTCATGCCTTTAGGGCATCTTTAATTAACAGTAGTTACTATCTCAGAAGTTGCTGTAGTTGTTGAGAGAACAATTAACTACACTCTGATTAGTTGACTAAAATTCACACTTTACCTTATCATTGAAGTCATCAGAAAGTTTATGATATTATTGATGAAAAATAATCCACCATGTAATATATCATCAAGATACAAGAAGCATACCCATAGAGTCAACCCAAATAAGAGAGAACAGAATCAGATACCAGAAGAGGATGCATCAATTCTTTATTGTACAAAACCAAGTGACACAATCAAAAAATCAAAAACAAAAGGGAAATCTAAAAAGGACCCATGGCAGAAATCCTCAACCGATGAACATAGAATGATCAGGCTCTATCTCCCACAAGAATGATCGAAACGACAAAAGCGAAAAAACCGATCACTATGGATGGAAAAGTCATGCTGCCATTGCTCTTACCAGGGGTAGGCACTGGGGCAGGGGACGGGGTTGTTGCGTGACCCACAGTGGCAGCAGAGACAGCCATGATCAATAAAGCAAGACAAGCAGCAAAAACAGTTGCTCTGATCCCATAACCCATCTCTTCAATGGCTTGAGAGAGTAGTATTCCAAGGTCTATGTTTGTATATAGTGCTGGAGAGACACAGCAGGGTTTTATAAGAGAAGGATTCAACGGCTTGGGGCAGTTGGTTAGTCATTGTACTAGGCTGTATAACCTTTGAAATCTATGATTGTTTTTGTTACTAGTTTCAACTGCTACTGCAGAAGAGCATATAATAATGCATTAATGATTGGTACATGCCAGCCTGGATGGTGCAGATAATAATGTTAATTAGTGTAGAGTTGACACGAATAATCGACTAAATATATTGGTTGTTGATGATTTGAGGGGTCTTTGCTTTATCTAAAATATGATCAATATCAATAATTTACACTCATTAAGAGTTATTAAAAAAAATTTATAGTTGTCACAAAATATTAAATAAGTGGATACATGACAATTTATGCATCCCATTGAATAAAAGAAAATAATAAAAATTAGGACCACTTTATATTATCAACAAATATTATAAATAATAATAGGAATCAAAGAAAATTAGGTTGTCTTGCTAATTAAAATGTTAGGAATGATAATGAAAAATTTAAAATATTCTTAATTAATCAATACACAAAAATGATAATGAAAAAATTAAAATATTCTTAATGAATCAATACACAAAAATAATTTATTAAGGACATTTAAACAATTTCACAATGTTCCTCAAAAAAAAAAAAACTTCACAATGAAGTTTTAGTATTTAAAGTGTTAAAATATCTTGATTTTTATTTTTCTCATAATAATACTCATTTTAATTTTGTGATAGTAAAAGATGAGAGTTATCTTTTGTTATATAATTTACTTAATAAAAAAAAGGACAACGTCAATAGGTAATCTCTTTTTTCAATGAGAGTAGGAGCTTACTAATTCAATTAGCAAGACATGTAAGTGAGATATTTAAAAAGAGATAAAAGATAATTATCTCTTATTAGGCTGTCCAAAATAAAAAAAAAATTTTTTTTCTCTAATATCTGTCCAAAAAGCTCATATTAGAAAAAAAAAAAAAAAAGGGCATTTTTCTGAAGAAAGTCAAGGGCCTAAAAGAAAGGCCTTAACCCTCAAGCCCCTCAAGCCCTGAAGTTTAGAAAGAACTATAGGGCTTTACCCTCAAGCCCAACAATCACAACTGGGCCAAAGCATGGGTCAAATTTGACAGTCGAACTGGTACAATAACCCGATCCGACTCTGAAAACGCCGTAAACTGGATTAGGTACGCTTCTGTTCGTACCTTCTGGTAACCGATAGCCTGTATAACAATACAATACTCTGCTGCTCCGAAGTAGCCCTTTTTTACAACTTCCAAAGAGAGTGGCCGCTATATCCTCCTCCTCCTCCTCCGCTGTCTGCACCACTACAGCTTCCATATGCGTATCTAGTTCCGTCCATGGCGTCCATTTCTAATCTTTCTCTCCACTCTCATCCTAAGGTAACTTCCAGAAACAAGTACGTAACCGCTTCTTCTCTTTCACACTCAAAACTTTACTTCTTTCTCTGTTTTCAGATTCTGGTTCGGCGACAGCCGCACCAGCAGCGGATACGGTTTGTGCGGTTGGCATCGGGATATCGCGGACGAAGTCCTGATCTGCTTCGACTTAAGACGCTGCCGTTTGGTAGCGGAATGAGATGTTCGGGAAGGCAGAACTCGGTTGTGACCGCAGCTTACGGACCGGAGGGAGGCGCCAGGCGGCGAGTCTACCGGCAGTCTCAAGCCCAGCGGCCTCCGCCGGCTAATGCTTCCGTGAAGCAGATTGCCTCGTTTGCCCTGCCGGCTGGTGTTTTCCTTGCAGTGAGTTTCGGTATGGATTCCGTTTGCTATTGTTTTTTGCTGAAATTCACATTTTCAATTAATTCGATTCCTTCATTTGTTTAATTGAATAAACTGTAATTTTGATCACACATTTAACAATAATGTAATTTGTGTCATTGTGTCGCGCATTTAAATTCCATTGCGGAGATTTTAAGTTTTTATAGTTCACAGAGCAGTCACATTCATATTTGAAGTATATCAAGCTTTTATGATTTTGATTGCTTTGGCCACAACTTAGTTAAATGAGTGTAACAACGCGGATTTATTGTTCTTACATGAGAGAGGAGTGGCTTTCCCAGAAGAACTTCTAGTGCTACCGTTGATACATATGGGGAAGAATTCAGATAATGCATTGAGTTTAAAATAAGGAGCATTTTATCATTGCTAGGCAAACTAGTATGACTAGTTTTCCAAATATGACTTTATTTTTATAAAAGTTCTGTACAGAACCTATGTGCATGCTTCCTATCATAAGCATGTAGACCACTGGGTTGTTTTTCCAAAATCTGCATTTCAAAGTTTGCCAGCATGCGGGGTTATTAAAAAACTTACCAGTGATTTTTATTGTGCTTTTGGATATCAAGGGCATCTTTGAAGATTTTTTGCACTTACCACAATTTATATGAATGCAAGCACAAAGTACTTGTCATTCTCGTTACTGGGTGTAGTAATTTATGTCTTCAGCTGACAGTGATGTGGAAAGTGGTGGAGAACCTCCTTACGCCCAAGACTTCAAGGCAATCATCAGTAGAAAATAAATCTCCTTCACAAGGAATGAAGTGGTCTTTTGCTCCAGGTTCCAATCTGTTTTCAGGTCTAGCCGCAAAGATTGATAGTCAATCAAAGCAGACACTCAATATATTTGCCAACGAACTTAGGTCATTCCAAAGTGTTGACATGTCAGGTATCGTGGTCGAATATATAGTAGTGACAAAACTTCCATTTTTAATTGTTATTCAGCAATCAATGATAACATGTCTCTTCAGGAAACAATTTTGGAGACGAGGGACTATTCTTTCTTTCTGAGAGCTTAGGGTACAACCAGGTTGTAGTTCTTTGACCATCAATTCCACTTCAGGATTTTATTTTGTGATTATCTTTATCATCAAGAAAAGAGATTCTGGTTTTATTAAGTTTTCAAAACTAGCACTTTCATGAGACTCTTTGCTCGTTCTCACTGAAACTTGGAACCATGCTCTGTCTGCTTTTGATTGAATCTTCTAAATGCATTTTGTCCTTTTTCAGGTTGTTGAGGAAGTTAGTTTTGCTGCAAATGGGATAACTGCAACTGGAATTAAAGCCTTTGATGGTGTTCTGCAGTCAAACATTACACTAAAGACTCTTGATCTCTCAGGAAATCCTATTGGAGACGAAGGAGTTAAGGTCAGACCATGTCTGAAATTGTATAACTAATGTGTTAAACAAAAGTTAACCTTGATTATCCTGCAAAATTGAGGGCTAAGATTTATCATGTGAAGATGTTGTGTAAGGAGAAAAATTCTTGTTCAATGTTTGTGCCCTTGAACATCAGATATGTAGTGTCTTGGATCTCATGCATTTGGCTTCTTTATTTCTTTTCATATTTCTCTATTTGATTAAGTTGTTAAATACAGCTTGTATCATTTTCAGACTGGAACTGTGCCCCTTTCAAGTCATACTAAATTTCCTTCCTTAAATTGATCCTAATCTGTATGCTAAAAATTTCCAAACCTCAAATTGATCCCTATATGTTTCAGTTGGAAATTGTGACCTAGTGTTAAGCATAAGTTCAGAAGCAGCATGCCAGAGTTTCCCATCTACTCTTCTTAAGAAAGTGCTACCTAGATTTCAGCATCATTGGATACAAGAAACACATTATTGCATTTAACAGTTATCATTGGTAGTCTTTGTACGCTCACATCTATATTTTATGTAACTCATGTGTTGACAGTTACTATGTGATATTTTGGTGAATAATGCTAGTATCCAAAAGCTCCAGCTGAACAGTGTTGGCCTTGGGGATGAGGTTAGCTTTTCTGCTTTTCTTTTTGCTACCATATTAAGAGATATGCAGAGGAGAGGTGAAGGCATTCATGGCAAAGATATTTGTTAAGCACAACATACTCTTTTGTGCAGGGTGCAAAGGCCATTGGAGAGCTGTTAAAGATAAACTCATCTTTGCGCATCGTTGAGCTTAATAACAACATGATTGACTATTCTGTAGGCAATTAATTTTTATTTCCTAATATTATGTACTCAAATATTATTAGAAAAAGTTTCAAAGTAGATACTTCCCCTCCCATTTGGAAAATTAATGCAGGGATTTACAAGTCTTGCTGGATCACTTCTTGAGAATAACACTATACGGAATTTACACCTCAAGTGAGTTAAAGTTCTTGCATTTATGCCTTTCTCTATGCTTCTTTCTTTTGGCCAAAATTATAAAATCTAGCTTATATGGGCAATTTTTAATGTCTTGTTTTGGGTCCTTTTTATCATTTTTTTAATTGACTTACTATTTTTCTTCCTTGAGCATTTTTTTGTCCAAAAATGCTCTAGTTCACTTTCCTCATATTGTGAAATCTTTACAATGTTTTGTCCTTTTGTTAGTGGCAATTACGGTGGTGCTCTTGGGGCTAATGCCCTGGCTAAGGGGCTAGAGGGAAACAAATCATTACGGGTAATTTTTATCTACCTCCCTTTTCTTGTCTTGAATTATACTGGAAAATCTCATTGTTTTTGAGAGTCATGACTCATGAGGCAGGAAGGATTTGTCAGATGTAGTTCCTAATAATTAGTCACAAGTTGCAAGTTTTCTATGAAATAGTGGTTCAATTTTTTATATGATATGATAATTCAGTTGATGGATGATAATGATGATGAATGTGAAAATTTTAATAATGGTTGGTATAACTTTTTACATTACAGTGAGTTAGTGATGCTTAAAAATTGAAAATTTGAATTTTATTGAGGAATGGTATATTTTATTATTTTATGTCCTTCTAGTATGCCTTTATCACTAGATGGCTGGATATGTATAGGCTTACAAGTTGCAATTAGTGGATAGAGTGTCTGTAGTATTCATAGCTAAAATATGATCAGGAACTTCATTTGCATGGAAATTCTATTGGAGATGAAGGAGCCCGCTCTTTGATGTCAGGCCTATCTTCACACAAAGGTTTACCTCATTGATCTTGTTTTATGATAATCCATTTATATTGCAGCTTGTTTACTTAATCTAACAAGCAA